ATCCTCTTTTACCTAATGCCTTTCTAGTTTTGGCCTGAAACTGGATTGGTTTAGCCAAGAACTACAAATTATCGATGGGACTTTTATTGCAAGGAAACTGTTTGATAAATAGCCTTATTCAATTTTGTGTGTAAGTTGTTGATTAACTTTGTGTAGAATAATTTGCCTTATTTAATTTTATTTGATAAGTTACCTTCTTAGACTTTCATGCATTTGATTATCTTTCTAAACTTTGTGTGAAGAAGTTGATCAAAGCTTATGAGGTCCCCTTAACCTCTTCCAAAAATGATATGGACTTTGTGCTGGTTTATGCAGATAGCTAAAGAAGTTCAATCGTTAATTTCCTGACAACTTATTCAAAATTATATCCGATGGCTTAAGTACACCTCATGATTCATTCTAAATGTAAGACCTTTGATTGTTTGCAAACCTCATCTCAGCTTGTTAGATATTTTGTCTGCAATGTAAGTCCAGGTGTGAGTCAACTGACCAACCTGATCATATGCATTTGGCTATTCTGGTTAGTTGATGCAATGTTTCTTCTTGTATAAGTTGACCTTTCCTGGTCTAACTAAAGATTACCAATTAGTGGGTCAAGTTTAATCTATCCATATTACGACACTTACCCTTGTGTGTTGCAGGTGAGACAGGCAAAATGAGACATGCTTTGGATCCAGTATGTTAACATGCTTAAAGTTCTTACCTCTGCAGTTTCATCTAAAAGCTTAAATGAAATGATAGGGCATGGTTTATGAATTTGTATTTTCAATATGCAAAGGAAGCCAAATAATTGGTTTGTTCTTTCTAACATTTAATCTGGTTGTGTTATTAAAATTCCTTCTAATTCAGTCCCCAGAATCTTAGTTTACGTTTCATGTATTTAGGTTAGGATGGTACTTGAACCGTATGAGCATAAGGGTTAAACATATTTTGCGGGAAAAGATTTGTATAACCGATCCTAAATAATTGAGACTTACAGTTTTATTGTTGTTGTAGTGGATGCTGGAATTCTATCAGGTTTCTCGGGCTTCGAGTCGGTCCCTGGTCCCCAGCTACCACGGATCAATTTCCTTGAAGAATGGAATGGTTTGGTTTTCTTATGTCTCGGTAGTAGATAATCTTCACTTCTTTGTTTTCTTCAACCATTGATCATAACTTTATGCATAACATGAAGAGAAAAACCAGAAGAAGTACGCTGAGTTCGATTCAAGATTCAAATCATCATCCGTGCTTAAAGAGCTTTTGGAAAAATCCAAATTGAATAAAGAAAGGTGAGCATCAGCTTCTCTAATTCTACAAAAGTAATATATGAACTGCTTGGTACAATGATACTTCAATCTAGTTTATGTAAAACAGTGAATCTTCTATTAGAAACAGAACTCATGGATATATAGTGGCAGAACCTCCTGGACTAGAAGAGATTTGAATCAAGATACTAGAGGATAGTAGATAGGAGTTACCTGCATTACCTCCTGGACTTGAGAGATTTTAATCCATATCTGCTCTTTCGGAATCTTTGCAATTCCAATGATGCTCCCTTCTGTTGCAATGAAATTGACAAGATATGATGATGGTAGGTAATGAAGTATCTGTGCTTCAGATAGCTTTAGTCTACTACATTGAAGAGTTTATATAGATTTGAGATATACATCTCTTATTCTACTCTTGTGAGGACTCCATCACAGACATTTGAAGAAACTTGTGTATGATCTCTTTCCGTTGCTAGCTTATTTTTTGCCTGTTAAAAATATGACTTCAAAAAGCATCTAAAGATTACAAACCAAGTGAAATAAATGCATGGTGAAGGAAAATCCATGACCAGATTAGTAGTCTCCTACACGAAAACTAGTGCAATTCCAAACAAATCCACAGTAACAGACTTTGCTCCTCGAATGTTTTCAGGAATCAAAGAGAGCTTCAAGATAAGTACTGCTTGAGAGGTGCAGAGTGGGGCGTGGGAGACTGCTCCACACAAGGAATGACACAGGAAGAAAGAGATGAGTTTATTGCAACGTTGAAGAAGAGGGCTGGAGGAGATTAAGTAGCAGTAACAATTTCTTTAAAAAAATTGAGAAAAGTTTGACCTTTTATTTTTTTACCTGTTCCATTTGGTAATTTACTTGTAATAACATGTGACGTTAGCTCAAACGAGGATGTGTCCTGTGTACAGCTCCCGGATCAAACCAATACAACACTGATGGGGGAGGATGTAACAGTGTGTTTTGAGGAACACTATTCAAATATGCTGCTGCTGCTGCTGCTGCTATTAGAATCAACAGAACTGACCCAAAGGTATAAAAGTTTTGTGGGTTTAATTGCAAATGAGTGACGAATGGAATTTTTCACAATAAATGGGCAGCACAGAGAGAGAGTCTAACATAAATAAGAGGAAAAGTATAACATGATATAATAATTCTTATGCATCTAGAAAGCACTTACATTTGTACCAATAAGACGATGATAATTATGTCGGATGGACGAGCCTTTTTCACAAAGCCGGGATAGCAATTCTATAGGTTAGCTAACCTAATCTGTCAATCAACCTGCAAAAATGGCAAGTACATGAAACAACTTAGATCTTTCACCACTAAACAATGACTATGGTATTGAGGTAACCTGAAATTATCAGCATCAAGTCAACAGATGTGACTAAACAGGAACCGTGAAAACTCAAGGATCATATCAATGATGGCTGTCATTATTTGCTTCTAAACTGTATTTTACATTTCCCCGAAAAATAACTACAACAAGAATATGTACAACAGAAAAGAAATGGAAAACTAAAATTGAAAATAAGCACTACATCTGTGGCTGAGGTGAAGAGGGTTGATCTGGAGAAGATCGATAACCTCCTCCACCAGCATAAGATGATCTGTGTCTTTGATCAAAGAGCTCACCCTCTGCAATTCCATCACTTACCCTAGGTGCTCCATTGCCACTAGAAAGATGCATAGGTCTTAGAGAGCCAAACTCTAGTGGTTCAGCAGGTAAACCATAACCAACTCCTTGATCATATGGGTACACCAACACAGCAGGAGGATTTGTGGAGTCAGGTGGAGTGACACCGTTTGAACCAACTGCGTTTTGTGGATACATTCCTAATGCATTTTCTAGGTTATGTGATGAATTTATTGTTGCGAAAGAGCCTTGGTATGAGGCAAGAGGCTCATGCCCGTATGACACCCATTTTTTAACGTCTTGGTTTCTTGATGCAGCCAGGTGGTCAGGCGGCAAACTTGACCTCTCAGCCTGGTTGCGTCCATAGCTGCGATCAAAAGCTCTTGATTTTGAGTGGACCCATCTTCCTTCTCTATCCACAGGATCATTGTGGTCATAGTTACGGTTCCCTCGGTGGCTTCTCAAACTTGACTGTCGATCTCTAAAGGAAACCTTCTGTAGAATGAGAAAGAGACAGAATTAAGTTTTGTCTATCAATGCTCCAGACTATACTTTCCCAGCTTTAATCATAACAATAATTTCTCATACATTGTCAGAAATAATATATATTATCATTTCCATTTTTGCAAAAGCCACGGTATCCATTCCACATAGACTGTGAAGCAATTCAGGATGTAGTGTGGTAATTGGTCCATAGTACGAGCTACATTCCAAAAGGAACAGTAGAAAGAAAGAAATACATTAATGCTCAAAAAAATTTTGTAAGCACTCTTGACTCCTTCATAGATTACTCATAATTCTCATGCTTATAAGATCTGGGAATAACATTAATAACAACCATCTAAAGCGAAAATGAGATGCATGGTCTAAACAACTATTCTAATAACAAAATAAGTAGGAAAGATAGAACTCCAAGACAAACATGTGGACTGTAGAACATTAGGCTAAGATGAAAATTACCTCTTGACCAATTGAATAATAAAAGGTGCTACTTTCTTAGTATTCAGGTTTTCTTCTAATATAAAAAACTGTTAAAACCTTACAGGATTTGGTAAATAGGTGCCAGTACCACCCCGATATCTTGGTGCTCCATCTACATGACGCTGGAAGACACCAGGAGCCTGATCAGGACCAGTTTGAAGAGGCATCATAGGCACAAGTCGAGGACCATGACCCATGATAGGTATATAGTTCAGATTAGCTGCAAGTGGTCTGCCAGGACCATCCCACAGATGATGACTGGGAAGATAAATCGGTTGCCCTGCAACAGGGGAAGAGTACACGAAAGGTCCGTGATTGGAGTTTTGGCAGTACCGTCCATATATCAGATTCTGCCAATGGTCATTTAGATCACTGTTCAGAATGTCAGAACTAGGCTCCTCGGAGGTTTCAGGTGCATAATCTCTTGAAACAGTTTGGGTAACGAAAGCCTCAGACTGGACAAAGCTATCCACTAAATCGATGTTCTGACCAGCAGTGCTTACATCAAACTGATCTGATTCTTCCTCTCTATCAAATTGTCTTGCATATTCATCAGGTTTTCCTGTATTGGATGTGAAATTACCATAAGGAAACATCAAGTATGGAACTGGTGGACCGGTCGCAACAAATGCCATAGGCAGAAGCTTGGAATAATCCACACCCCTCTGCTGGGAAGTGCCAACAAGCACCGGTGCAGTTGGGGTCCGTGGATCCAATTGATTTTGTGCTGATCCCCAGCCAGGTGGATGATGGCTCATCACATGTGAGGAAGCTGAAGATGAAGATTCTGTAATTCTTTCAGACATATTGTTTCCCATGGTTGACAGAGGAATCCAGCCTGAAATATCATCTTCTACCTTCGAAAAGACATGGTCAGATGAACCCTCAAATTGCAACCGACTGTTTTCTTTTCCAAAAGAGGAAGTTGAAATTGAAGGAGACACTGGTTTTCTCCCCCATTTGTCCCTTGCTGACTTTGAGATATTTGCAGCTGATCTATCCCTCAGATTTTCTGATGCAGGTCTGGTTCTGGAAGAACTTGCCTGCGACAGAGGGAAGAACCTCGGGTTTGAACTCTGGAAATCACCTCCTCTACTTGTTTTACCTTGGAAGGAACTATTATAATCTTCTTTAGTCGAACTTCTGTTTTCTCTACCCAACTGGCCCCGGGGTGATGAACCAGACCCAATGCCACTTGCTGCGAGACTTGAGGTTAAGCTACCGTCTAACTTCTGTTGCTTGTCATCAGCATGAATAATCTGTGGACCACTTTCATCAGGCTCAAACTCTCTGGAGAGTACAACATCATCTTCACGCAACTTGCCACAATCATTATCCTCTGAGCTGACTTCCATCATGGAAGAACCATTATTAACATATGCGGCATCATCTGCATTTGAACCAAATGTGGCAGCATGGAAGTAACTGGAAAGAGGGAAGGAAACAAGACCTGGACCAAACTGGATATTGGGTCCATAGGGAGGCCCAAGTATAGATAGATTCGAGGGTACAACTCCAGCCATATTTCCCTTGAAATAACCCACAGATGTTGAATATGTTAGGGGCAGATGAAAAGGAGATAGATGCATTGGCAATTGAACCTGCCCACTAAAACTGTTAATGTTGGAAGATCCCATCATATTCACCAAATCCTGTTCTTCCTGTTGCATCTGCAGTGTCTCTGAAACAGAAGCAAGCTCCTCCACCATGTTACCAAAGCCAAAATCACCCTGATGGCTATTTGAAAGACTAATTGCACCAGAAGCAACTTCAAGATTCTTTTGAGACGAAGTCTGTCTCATTGATATATTATCATCAAGAGAAGACTTTGAACTGTGACTGCCTGTAATATCAGAGCCCAAGTTCTTTCGTCTGATATCAGAATCAAACTTTGCACGATTCTGAACCTTCACTGTTTCTATTGATCTGCCATGCCTTTTCTGAGACAAATTAAAAAATGTCTCTGTCAGTTCAGGACTAGATCTCGTCCTTCCAAAATGAAATTTAACCTGTTCTTCCCTGTCATTGAAAAAGTAATTAGGTTTTAATATTTTCTGGTCTTTGTCACTTTGAACAGATCCACTAGAGTAATAGCTTCTCTCCAGCTGATTACTGACTCTCGTATTGACCTGCTTGCTGTAATTTGTTTGGCTCTCCACATGAGAAACTGCAGATGGTTTATTTGATCTAAATAGGTTCTGATTGTCGCTAAAGATTTTAGAGATGGAACTATGAAAATTGTAACCAGTTTCAGCCAGATGCTCCTCACCAACCTGCAATACACCATTTTGAAAATTCTTCTTGACACTTGTAGTGCTTTTGAAGTTGTTTGATTGCTTAATAGGATCAGTTTTCGGTGGTTGCAAGTGCCATAAATCTAAGCTAGGAGCATCAGGTCGATCACCAATCCCATGTCTTTTCCATGTGTTTATAAAAAATTGATTCACTTCAGTGATTATCTCATCTTTTGGACATTCAAGTAATCTGGCCAGTCTTTTGGCCCCATATGCAAAAGCACTACGTATCCTGAAGAAATTGCCTGACGGAAAACCAAAAAATACTTTCATTTAACAGACATAAAGAACACCAAAACTCCCCTCCCTTCCACAACAGACATGCATGCAAAGCTAAAGGTTGATAGAAGAACTATGTAATCAAGCCCATGTAAAATGAATGATCTGCAAATTTATATGCCCATGCATGCACAAGACAGGATGATGGAAGGTGAGTTATTAAAATTTCCAGATTTCTAAAGCCAAACACAACAAAACCACATATTTCACAAATCACAAATGACATTAGGTCATATGATAAATAATAGACAGTTAAATCAATAGACAAGGAGGAATTATGTACGGCAGTGTACTATAAGTTCTTTTCTCAAGATGAGTCGAGAGCGCAAAAGCATGTGTTGGTACAACAAGTCCATTAAATTCATACAACTAACTGGGTTCACAGATGCAGCTGTACATAGTAATAATGACAATGCTATCTCTACTGGAAAGAATAATGGTTGACGAACAATAAAGCTCTATAGCTTTGACCTCCACCAGGCATGAATGTATGTCACCACCTGTACTAACCCAGATATCTGAATGCCACCAACTGGGTAAAAGGAATAGCCATGTCAAGATATAATGTATTGGACCAGTCCAGACCACCGAATTTCAATACCTTAGGTTTTGATAAACCACTTGAAAACTAACCAGTTCCAAAAGAAACTAGTCAAAACCCAAAATAGTTTAACCAGAAACAATCGAGAAGCTCTAAAGCCCAATATCCACCACTTACATTCATATCCCACCCTTGCCACTGACTCTCTCTCTCTCCCTCTTCTCTTCCACCTCCCTCACATATCCACCACTTACAAAATCAGATAGCCCATGAGTCTCCCCTAGAGATTCCAAAAGCAACAAAGGTTCAACTGGAAGACTACCAACATATGAAAAGTTAATTAAAAAAATCAAAATATTTAAAATACTATTTAAGAATAAAATCAAAAACATTAAATAGGATTCAACTTAAAACCAAAATAAACCGCTCAACATCATAACCACTTTCAACAGTTTGTTCAAACAAAAAATAATCCTGGATTGAGGGTCACCATTTACACCATGAGAAATATAACCACCTAAACTTGAGATTGTGCCATATGCTCTGAATATTAAGAATAACAAATATTAATTAATTAATTAGGCAAATTCAACATGATGATAACACCAGAGGAAATAAGCAAAAAGATAGAAGGGCTACCCCCCAATAGGAATACCAAAGTTCAAGATTAAAACCTTTGCTCACACTGCGTCCAAGATTGTTGTTTGTGCGTAACGGGTCGACAACATTGAAATGTTTTGCAACAAAAGGATGGCTCTGATTTTCTTGACCACCTGGTGTAACAGAATACACTGCAGTTCGGTTGTCAAGATAGCCTTTACTAAACAACAAATTACCATTATCCTTTCTAGGAGGTTCCGCTGCAAGATTTTGAAGGAGAATGATAATAAGATACCAGACATTTCAGCTTTCTAAAGAATTTTCATAAACTTACCAGTCATATCTGGAAGTGATCTGATAGGAACTGGTCCCCAGAGACTAACACAATAGTTATCCCAATCAAAGTTGCTAAAAAATTCAAGAAAACGAAACAAGACCTGTATAGGCAAAAATTGGGGTAGAAACTTTATCTAAAATTAGGGCGTGAATAAAGTAAAAAAAAAAAAGAATACAACAAAATTTATCACCTCAAGTGGGCCAGCAAATGAATTATTGAAGATATGAAATATGTAAAGAACCAAAGTCTCCAAGGCATATGTAGATATAAGTCCATGATGAGCACCGAGAATACGGCTTTCATAATAACACCAAGCTTTAATTAATATAATACTCCGCTTGAATAGATGGTTTTGATTTATCGCTTTGTCCATCTATGGAAAAGCACAAGGTTATGTTAGCATAATAAAACTGAGGTTGTATGCTTCAAAGAGATATGACAAAAATGTTATAAAGCATCACATACTAACCTCTTCAAGGAAACAAAGTGTGCATAAGCCACCAACCTGATTGAAAGAAATGTCCACAACAATATTTTCAACAAGACATTTTATGAGCTTTACCTGGAAACAATATCATAAGAAATAATGTTCAGTGAAAAAAAAATGCTGCTAACAAATATATAAATACATCAAACTCATCTTGAATTCTTAACGGACAAACATGTCTAGCTACAGCCAAAATCAATATCTGTATCAGAACAAACAGCAGAAAAAACACAAATGATTGAGAAATTAGTTGATGAAAAACAACTTCATTCAAAATTTAAAACAACATGCAAGTTATACTACAGTAGAAACACAAGTAGTTATTAAGCTCTAGAGCAGAGAGAAGATTAATTAAATTAACTTTTTAAAAAACTCTTAGTAAGTTAGAAAATGCTGGTGTTCAACAAGAACAATCCAAACAATGCAACTTAATATAGAAATGTATTCTGTAGTACAATATAAAAATAAGATGAGTAGGACTAAATAGGACTCACACTACCATTTTGCAACCTCAATCATAACCATGGAAGTCAAACAATAATTAACTGGCAGTGAACTATCAAAGTAAAGAACTAGTATCACAAAAGAATGGATTGAGGTCTTTCTCTGATGCACAAAAATATACAATGTTGCAAGCACTAGTGCACTAAATTGGGCACACAAATTGAAGATGCAACAACACAACCTACTGGCCCAACAAATTCTGTGTAGTAGATCTAACTAAACATGGCCAAAGGTGCTAATGACTAAATTACGAGTGGTGGATCACAAAAATAATGTCTATATTGTTAGGAAGTGCAGATCATGGACCATGTAGAACATGACCAAGTTGCAGTTGCCTCCAGCAGCAGAGGCATGTGACTCACAATGCTTCCCAGCACCAAAGACATGCCTACCAAATCAATAACAGAAGAACAACAACAAACCTCAAAGTAAAAAGCCAAAAAGAAAATAATATAATATTTCACAAGATCCCCAAATTTGCTCTAATTCCAATTCATACAATGTAGCAAGATCTTTTCTTTGATCTGTTTTAGAATACAAAGGGCAACAAATCATTGTTAATAAAAAGATAACTAAAGATCTATAATACATGAGAAACCATGGGTGTACAAGCTGTTGGAAGATGAAAGAAACAACACTAGACAACAAAGGAAATATCTAAGATTCTAAGCCATGTAATTCAATGAACATTCTTTTATCAATAATTCATCATATTCATAGAATCAAGGACAACATATTGAAGTGCTCAAAGAAAAGCTTTTTAAAAAGAAGAAATACCAACTTATTAGTTTCTTTCGTCATACTGGTTTCCTTCTAAAGCAACTGTTTCTAATTCTCAATAGAATTATATGAATCAAAACACCATAACTTTGTCTAAGACTCGATAATTATAGTGATTTGACAACTCATTTGTATCTAAGATAGATCTCAAATTAATCAACCCATCTCTCGAAATTGAACTAAAGACATGAATATAACTCGTAGAGAAAGAAAAGTAACCTTTGACCCTCGACCCAAGAAAAAACTTGAGTCAACATAAAATAGACTCAAGCTCTAGCTTAAACTAGACTCACTGAAACTCTTCAGATCTGCACAGAGATAAAATGGGTGATGCTCAATCACCAAAACAGAAAAGTTATCTAAAAAACAGCTAAATCTATGGAAAAATAATCTAACCCAGTAACACAAAAAGAAATAGAACTAATAATACCATGAGGAATATACAATTAGGCAATAAGCAAGTATCCTTAATAGAATCGAATGCTAGAACAGAAAATATTCTGGCACCTCTGCTTGGATGTATTTAACTTCTTTTACACGAAATTCAGCATTCTCACTCTTTCCTTCATTTTCTAATACACCGCAAACTGCAGTAGCCCATGTATCCTTCAAATTTTCATTATCACTGAATGCGGTCAAATCAATGTCTCCATCAGGTAAATAAGTCTTGAGAGGCACCGACCCAAATGTGAAAACCTGAAAACCAGCATGATGGTTGATGGTTAAAAATTTTAAGTAGATTGCACACTAACAAGATTAACTTAAAAAAACCACCTATCCGAGAGCATATCCACAGAGATAACTCTTTCATTAATGTAAACAATTTGGTATAGTCCATAACTCTATATATCGATAGCCTTGAGAAATTTCTGAGCGAGCTAACCATAAATAATTTTACAAAAGGATGGACTTGTTAAACAATCTAAGGATTCACAAAACAGTAACCATAAGAAACTTCTTTTCTATCTTCTTCCAACTCCATGGAAAAATTAGTTCAGCAAAAATATCATACCAGAAATTTCTCCATTGCATCAAAAATTAATAACAAAGCATTAGATACATATTTATACAGCTTATTTTGTAATATTGATTCTTGCCTGATATGCAGTCCTGTCATGGATCACACCAACTGTTTCAGGATGTACCCTGCAGATATCATAACTGTCCATTGTTTATACCCAACTGTCAATATTTGTTTCCCTCCTTCCCAGCACCTGCTGTTTAAATTGGTTATCTCGACCACTAGAGTTGTCATAGTATTAAATTATTCAGATACACCAATAAAGTGAGCCCTTGCCCTTATGATTTTTTTGGATTTGGCATCAAATTGAATAAAAAATCTGATCAACTTGACTGCCAAATAAAGGAAGGTAACAGTTCAAAATTTTTCATGTTTCTTATTCTTGTGCATGAACACGAGTGACAGAAAACATGCCTTCCATATAAGGCTAAATGGAGGAAACCATCCCAACCAGCAACCTTGATTGAGAAAAGTGCAGTCCACGGAACAAAGCACATGCCAATGCAGGGTCTAGGATTGGTATGAGCAACCTTATCACTGTTCTTTCCGATCTCTACGCATTTCACCGCTCCACCGGAAATTCCCTCTGCCCCTACCGTACTCCAGCTTGGTAGTTTCCACCGCCTGTCCAGGGTTGAGCCCTGGGATTTGACGGCGGACTTGAAAAGCCACCTACAGACGCTTTACGCCCAATACAATACTTCAAAGTCGAAGAATAGCATCCAAATAGCATGTCTTATTTTATTCAATAATCCATATTTCTAGCAATGAATTATTACTGTCTATCGTACCAGAATCGAAGTTCCATGATCGGGCAACTATAATCCTAGAGAAAAAGATTCTAAAGCATAAGCCCATGGATCTAAGAACTCTTGATGGATTGTTTTTTTTTTTTTCCCATGTGAGCTTGCCTCTTTCAGGACCACAAGACCATAAAAGCATTGTGCCGAGACCTAGTTGGCTAAACTTCAAAGCTTATCTTGCATTCTCTTTCTGGCCAATCCAACAACCATTAAGCACTAGACCGTGAAACCCCAAATAGATAGTTCGACAACAAACTTTAAGCAAGCATGCATAACTTACACAACCAAGATGACTCGTGCCAAATTCGGTGACTGATTTTGTGTTAATATTTCCCAGGCATCATCTTCTTGCTTTACTTGCTTCTTCATATACCATTTTAACAATTCAAACTGCAGTCGAGCAACATAGTTTACTAAAAGTCTCATGTCGATATAAATTCAAAAGGTTTTGAGTAACTCTAAATAAGCACTAACTACTGTCACTGATTATGCCAGCTACAAATGGAACAATAATTATTTCTAGGCAACCATTAAATTAAGCAGATAAGCCAAAGGTGCACTGTGTGCAAGTATTAACAATTGATGCATCCGTTAGTAAGGTTAATTGTGCATGTAACAGTGAAAATGAAAACCTGAGTTTCAGTACTACAAAAAAAATGAAAATACTAAGGAGGGACAAACTTGAACAACTGCCATCTGGCCACAGGAATCAAATAGCACATGTCAAAATACTCACCCGACAGGAGAGGCAATTTGCAATGAGCCGCTGGACATAGTCGGCTACAGCATTTCTCCGCTCCTCAGATGATTGATTTGGCTGAATTCGTGCAATCAGCTCTGAAGTTTGTTCCTCTGCCTTAGTCCATCTGTCTGCATCAAGCACTTGGGTCACATTGGTTGTTTCCCTGGGCAAAAGACCACTGGGAAGTATGTTACCAAGCCATTCCCGTCCTCCATGATCACCCATGAAAAGCTATCCTACAGTCAGTACCCGATGCCTCCTTAAAGAACTTCCTTATTCCCCTCTTCCAATGCAGAAAACGCGAAAGAATACTCTCTAGACAAGCACAACTGATGAGATGAGTGCAATAGCAGATAGACATGCACCAGAAAAGTGAAAATATAAAGAGCCACAATGACAACAGAAACAGCGAAGACAAATCTTTTCGCCACAACACCAAAAAATCAGAATCTGAAGACGAAAACAACGATTATCCTCCACAACCGTGGTCCGATGGGCCTCTTCTCTTGAAGGATTCAAGCTTCCACTATTCCACTTGGTAATTCAAGAAAATCAGAAGGTAACACCGTCCTCTCAAACTCGCTCCGACTGCTGCGAGGGCCAAAAGAACAGAACAGCGAACCAAAACTTAATCCACAACAGAAACAAATGAATTCGATTCCCCCCTCGAGCGCGATGGCCTCACACCCTAAACTCGACTGACCCACCGACCGTGAGCAGAGGCCACTTCCCAGGGCGATATTCCTCCAATGCCGTGGAACTCGGGCGGCCGACCAAAAGCGCAAAGAGCCCCAACGCGCATTAACCGCACAAACCCTAGAAATGAAAGAAGAGGACCCGGAGGCGAAAACCTAAGCAGAAGCGGCGCGAGGAAAACCCGAGCTCCAAAGATCCGGGGTCGAGCCGTATCTCCAAAGATCTTGCAGGAATTCGGGGAGGATCGAGGGCGCGACGCGGGTGGAAGGGAAAGGAGGAAGAAAAGGCGAAGAAACGGGTGGAGAGAGAAAGAGAGAGAGAGATCGGCGTTAGGGCACAAACGTTTTATAGTGGGGGAATTCATCTAAATTACACATACTTATATAGACGAGGGAGGTTATGTATGTATATGAAAAGCCACGCGCCGTGATGATCATGATATGTAGCAAAGATCCGCAAATGGAATCATAGGTGTAAAGATCCGCAAGAAACCTTAGTAAATCATAATGTATTAATATACATACTCCATTTATATGGTGAATTAAATTACCTTAAAACCCCACCATATCGCACGTGTCAAGAATAAGAGTCGTCTTACGTCACCGAGCCAGTTGTCACCGATGGTTTCAGAGAAACGGCCGTCAGAGTAACTAAAACAATTGAATTCAAATTATTCGGCTGTTACAGAACAAGCATTCATGTACAGAAAGGGGATCGATCTATGAGATTAGATCTAATCCCTCTATTTCACTGCATTTTGACTTGAGCGTCCATCCATCATCTGTTCCAATTGGGAGGACAAGTAAAGGAGCACCGGCGATGTTGCAGGTGAAACTTAACGAGGGAAAGGCAGGCAAGATATAAAATCGCTGGGATATGTGTTAAGCAAGTATAATGCACGTTATTAAACGATTCAAGAAGTAATGACTGTTATTAAACGATACAACATAATATGGATTAGTAGGATGTGGAAGTCAGTTGCCGACATTTAATCGGAAAATTTTTTTTGGCTTGGCTAGTGAAATCCAACACCGGTCAGCCATTGTTCTTCATCCTACTAATCTGGCGTCAACTCTATGTGGCGATATGTCAATGACACATCGACTCTACTTGGTTGAGGAGCCAGCATCGAGTCAACTTTGCAGGAAGGGTGTAATGACTGTTCCAGTCTAATTGATGTGGTCTACATGGTTTACTCTCGCCCAGGCACGCTTAACTTCGGAGTTATGATGGGATCCGGTGCTTTAGTGCTGGTATGATCACACCGGTTTCACGTGCTTCGTCCCTTGCCTATGTGCACGTCGCGACTGGTGCATCAACGTCCGGAGCCTCGTGCGCGTCACGAAACCGTCGACGCTTGCTAGAACGATCGTAGAATCGCTATTGGAAGCTCTCTCCGAGCCACAGCCCAACAACTGCGTATCGATCACGTAAGTCGCTGGTCACCACCACATGACCTCTTTCGACGAGTGACAAAAAAGATAATGATTACGACTGACCATTACGCACCCAGTATCATGTGGGCAATGGAAATGGTAGTTTAGCACAGGTGGAGAGCAATTGTGGCCGAGTCTTTCACCTCGTTACTACATAAGCTTTGCAACAAGCAAACGTAATGGACCCAAATCTCTACTATAAAAAAAGGGGTGTCAAGTACATCTCAAGAGACCGAATGATTCTCAAGTTCAATTTGTCCGACTAGTTAAACTAGTTAACTAACTTAATAAACTAAAAGGTATTATTGGTGTTACCGTCGATGCAAGAGATCCTCTTGACATAGGCTCGAAAAAAGGACTCGATTGGATCTGACTCTCTGTTTTCAGTTCGATTAATGAAATTTAACACTAACAATGTTAATTTAATTTAGAAAAACATAAGAGTTTCATACTTTGGAAAGGGAAGGGGTTGAGTTTGAGAAAGAAAGGGTATCATACACGAAAGAAAGAAAGAAAGAGTTTTCAAGATGGTTGCAAGTTATATTCCAAATTAACACTAACAATGTTAATTTAATTTAGACAAACCCGAGTAGAGAGAGAGAGAGAGAGAGAGAGAGAGAGCACCCGGTATGAAAAACTTAAGAGTTCGATGCTTAAGTTAGTTTTAGATATTTTAAGAAATCATCAAATTTAGTTCTTTAGTAAAGAAGACTAGAGAGAGTATTAGTCTTAGCTAAATAATTTTTAGAACTAACTATTTCCATACGACCTAAGGTTCATAGCATTATAAGCTAGTATTAAAATTTTTTATATGGAAATAAAGTTCGATATTACTATTGGTGTCGACATAGATATTGACACTGATGTCAACATGGACACCATCATGTCAACTAATGCATATCAATGCTTAACTAGAATTCTCTTGTATTATGAAAATCCATGGTAAAGAAAGATATATAAAAATCGCATTGAATAGGGATTTTACCAAAAAAAAAAAAAAGTGCATGAACACTTTTGATGACATTGAATATGACCTTCCATAAGACATTTCTTGATTACTATGATTGGTTAGGGATTTATGGTACTCAATGTGAAAAAAATAATCTTGGGTGAGAATTAACTTTTATAAAAGAAGTTCTTGTTTGTTAAGTGTTGTCGTTCTCTTTCTGTCTTTTTTTTTTTCTCTCTCTTACCAAGTATAGTTAACATAGCAAATACAATATGTGCATAAACAATTACTATAAACTCCAGCTGAAGGTATAGGATCATATGAGGTGAAACGGATATCCCATGGGTTCTCGTGCCAATGTTCTTCCTTCGTCTCCCCCTTCTTCTCCGCTTCTAACTAAATAATCATTCTTTTCCTTTTTTTGTTCTCTTAGTTTTATTTTATTTTAGCATAACTTAGGAATGTTTTATATCCTTGAAATGTAATAAGTATTTATGAAAGATATACTTTTTTTTTTATTTTTCTCTCCCACTATGTTAAATTAAATCCGACTAGTTTTTTTTTTAATCCTTACATATGAGGTGTGGTGTCAATTAATATAAACATATGATCACACGCAACAAACATATGAAAGTCTAGTGTTATCATCATGCATATTCCCATCAATACCATGAAGTTGATGTTCATGTGTATAAACTTTAAGATTGTCGTTTGCCTAAACCACATACAAGAAGTGGTAGATCATAACCCAACCATGAGTAAAACCCATGGTTGTTAACCATGATAGATTGTATCTTGTGCATATAATATATCATTCAAAATCAAACTTTAGTTTTGTGCATCAAAAAAAAATTTGTTATCAATGCCTCCTCTCATAGTTGGTCGTCGCTAAGTCGTAATATGAATAATAAGATATCTTGTTGAATCTCATCTCTCTAGCACAAGTGTACAACCACCCATGTACAAAAATCTTTCACATGTTATCACTTTCGACAAACTCTAATTGTATCCTCATTGGATGTCAATTTGAAAATCTCTATGTTTGGAAGTCAGGAGACAAATCATGGACTATAGAAAAAAATGTGGGTATAAATTTGTAGTCTATCATCAGTGGACAATCCTATGTATTAAATTATTCTATTAGATACTCAAGGAATTTTCATATGCTTATGGTCAGGAATTCGGATATGCCAACTCTCTTCTTTTTTTTTTCACATAATCAACTATGATATATTCTTAATTGAATATACAAAAAGATATTATTGGTTTATATCCTAATAAGCATACATGAACGAGATGTTTGTGATGGATACTTGTTTCGACTCGATTTAAAGAATAAGACTTAGATTGAGATGAAGAGCTTAGGTGATCGAGCATTATTCCTGAACGATAATGATCATCAAATATTCTCGATCTCAGCTCATAACACTTGATGCATGATAACCGTGTATATCTCATTAGCACATAGTCAAATCATGCTAATTAGACTATAAAAAATAGTTATTTTAGAAGAATAGTCAAACAACCACGATATTTTTGTGGTTATAGATCATCCTAAATTTGAGTTGAATGTAAAACAATAAAGTGAGAGAAAATAAAATAAAAAAAACAATGTAAGTTTGATATAGACTTTGATTCGGATAG